GATAAAAAAAAGAAATTAGAAATTTGTCCCTAAGTTTGCACGTGCATCCTAAATATCAATTGTAGCTTACTGTTAACCATCATGTGGATGTTTGCTGCATCTCGCATTGTTGTATTTTTAGGTACATGTAGTTGTCGAATGCCGAATCTTATTAAATCATTAAATCAAACTATGCATGCTTGCATGATTATAAGGTTGAAAAGCGACAAGCATTGTCCAAGCACAGTTTGTGGCGAAAATATTTGCATGCTAAGATTATGATTACATCAGCAGATTCCAATAGGAGTTTGTTGTGTAATTTACCGGTACGTAAACGTACAATATTAACAAAACTAGTTATGCTGCATAATGGATTTCGATGAAATCATGAATCATAAAAATACTTTTTCCATAATAAAACATATGTTTATACGTGCGAAACTTCAGAATCTAATCGCAGAGATACACTTGCCCTGAATTATTCTCACCAGGAGTCCTTTAGTATAGCTTTACATAATAATAGTATATTAGTAATAGTATATTCTGACCACATATTATGTGGTCAGAATTATTTCAAGGTATGTGGTCATAAAACACAAGCACAAGAAACATATTTAAGTCAGTTTCACAGCGAAGCTCGGTACAGTGATTACAGTCTGTTGAGTGTATAAGTTTTTACAGAGACTTCAGTAATGGTCTTTTCAAGAATAATTAATCTTTTTGTCGCCCTCATCAACTATGTTGTCGCCCTCATCAAGTATGTGGCAAGGATAATCATGAGTTGCCCATACTGCCAAGAGAACGCTGAACGAGAAGATGTGGAAAACCCAGCGCCTCCTTTCTGGCACCACTCTCTTCTGCAGAGAACTCTGCAAATATGGTTTACAACAAAATTAGCAGTGTTACCATTGGGAGTATTAGTGATTTTCTTGCTCTATTTTGATATAAACATTGACCCCATTTTAAGATGGGGAAAAACTTACTACATGATAGGACTTGTAATCTGTTCTGTGCTACTTTATTTATACTGGCTAGAAAACAGGGGAGAGTACTTTCCAGCAGTGGGCATGGTTGTAAAAGTTGTCCTTCTAGTAATAGTGTTGCAGAGGGGTGTACACATTGGCAATGAACTCAACTTCTTTTTCCCGAATTTTAGTAAACGGTATAACCAGATTATGTGGCCCTCGATTTATGCTGCTTTATTTATCGTTGTGCTATTACCTCGGATAGTACAAAGAAATGTTTTTTTAATTCCTTTGAACTCTCGACTACACACCATTTCTCTGATCACAGCTAAGTTATGTCTTGACTGGGTATTCTACAACCTCGCCGCAATGTTTATAGTCACAAAAGACGAAGTAAAACAAGCGATATTTGTAACCATTACCCCACTCCTGCCTGTAATACCTATAGTTATTTGCGATCGCTGTACTTTGATACAAATCTCTAAAATCACCACCCGAGAGCGTGGTTTCGTTTTTGTTTGTTTGAGCCGTGGAATTATTATTATTCTATGTCGTATCATGCAAGCCGATTTCACGAGTATATGGCTCTTCATGGGAGTGTCCTTGTTCCAAGGTTTTCTCAAAGTGGCCGGCAAAGCAACAGAAGAGCTTCGGGGCAATGTACTGACATACTTTTTTAGACGTCCAAGAAATCCCAGATCTCCAAGGTTCATGGCAGATATCGAAATCCAAGATATCCTGTTTGAATGGATAACGCTTATTCTCAGCCAAACTTTGGTTGCACTCTCGCTGATACAAACCTGTGGGAATTCACAGTTGGATGTTCTCAATAAGTCCCTTGTCAGGATTGCTATTGGACTAGGCATAGATTTTATTTTTAATTGTCTTTCCATCTTTATTCAAATGCGTTGGTGCCATGTTCCACTTCACACGGTCTGGTTAAATCACTGGAAATATCACATGCTGGTTAACGTCATCGCCATCGCGATAATATTGATTATCTACAAACCAAGCCTTGTCACAGCTTATGGAATACAAGGGCAATTTAGAAAATATGGAAATGACAATTGTACATCGGTCTTTACACAGTGGTGAAACAGATGCAAAACAAGACTGACTCGTCATCGTCATTAGTATAGCTTAAGAAACTAATTATGTACATGCTCATCCAGACATTGACCATTGGCCTATATATTGTTATATGAATGGAAGAAACAGTGTACAAACAAACATTATAAATAAGGCTTGTCTCAGAACGACATTTTAAGCTATGTAATAGTTTGCCGCATGCATGCATAGTATTAGGTTGCGTTCAGACTGAGTGACCGGCACTGGTGCCCAATGTTCAAAATGGTTCCCAAAACATGTTGAGCACAGTGCCATTGTTGAGTACTACCTCTAGAAGTAGTGCCCATTCTTGGGCACTATGTGCCAATTTCATTTGAAAGCATCGTGTACAACCCATGAACGCAGCCTACAATACCGTGTTTACTCGTTTTAGCGCCACAGCGCTCTTTAAATTTTTGGTGCTTCGGATGCGGTGCTTATTTGAGGGCGACGCTCAAACAAGTAAATACGGGATTGTTGCAGCACATTTGCATTATAGTATAATCATAGGGAATGTATCATGCATTGGTCATTGATAATAAATATTAATAAACTGGTTTCAATTTCAAGTATTACCATGAATAAATATAGTACCATGTTGGTACGCGGTACTCTGCGTACTTACATTTTGCTGGTACCATATGACCAGCAAACATTTCAAGATATTCAAAACCGTTAATCCAGCATGTCCTGCCACGAAGCATGATTGAACAGACGTCGTATGAGAGCCAATGAGACTAAGAAAAGTTGGAGTCATTTGTATGGAACTTCATTTGTAGGGCCTTCGCTCGAAACGTCGAAATTCTCCTTATATTTTTCAGGTAGTTGCATGTTGCATCCCTACCAACGAAAGCTGTTCGAAATCGTGCTCTTTCTTGTCCTGTTTTAGGTTACTGACTGAACACATTTCAGTAAACTGTGCTTTATGTAGTTTATCTTAAAGACTGACTACACCTTGAGTCTTAAGTCTCTACTAGCTCAAGTATGCGCTAATAATCATCTGGGGTGCCAGTAAGGGTGCAGCAGTTTGGTGTGGTAATTCTTCATACGGAAACTGATAATACATTTTGCTTGATAGTTAATAAAGTTTGTTTTTCTCGCAGGAAGCGAAGCTCAAGCAGCAGACTGATTATGATGAAATTCACAGAGAACTCGAGTAAGTTATGCACACAAAATACTTCCTATGCAAAATATGGGTTCTTGTAGAATGATGACTTCGGAACAATGTTTTTGTACTTTTCTATTTCAGTATTTTAAAATCTGTGGAGTTCTCAAGAATCCCTAATGCTGACGATGATTCCTCTGAACAGGTATAAATTATCATAACTATAATCATCTCGCACAGTTTATGCTCATCGCCATCAACTCACTTGAGAATATTTCTTCTTTTACAGGATACAAATAAATCTCTAGAGATGCTTCTTTTGGAAAAGAATCGAGGTACTGTGAGGCTGTGAGCTGAACGCTGCCTTTCATTGGGATATCTTTAGTAGTTTAGAAAAGGAACATTTGTGTTGAAGAATCGTCTTTTCTCCGTGTTTCAGGTTTACAATCAGAAAATGCCAAATTAAAGTTTGCCAACCAAGATCTTTCTGGTACGTATGTACTTTTGTGTCAAGATCCATTGTTAGTGCAGGAGTAAACCGCAGACTCCCTGGAGAATTAAACATGCGGTGTTACTGATAGCGTCATATTGGTAACGCTCTTGTCACGTGTGGCTGCAGCGAAATTATTACCATTGACTGTCCAATCGATTGTTTCCAATGTGAATTTCAGATCGTCATGCAGATCTCCAGAAGCAGTACACGGAGGCCGCTCACACTGTCAAAGAGCAGAAAGAATTGATCACTCAACTTGAGACTGACTTACTCTCCGTCAATGCCTTGCCCTCTGTACATCGTGGCCAAGGAGAGGTATGAATATTGCTCTTTTGTTAGACGTGTCAGTCTTTGTATCTAACAAACATTGCTATACTGTATATAAGTCCTTAACTGTTCTCCCTTTAAAAAGGGGTTCAGATTTGATTTCCACAACAGCTGCCATTTAACCAATCAGATGCATTTAATCTACCCGTCCCTAAGTCCCTTGTTGATCCAGTGCTACCACAGGAGGAAGCTTGAGTACCCAGAGAAAACCTGTGGTGTTTGGTAGAGTGAAACTGCATGAAAGCTTCTATGGCATTCAAATCTTCTTTTTCTATACCATAGGGTGAAGCAATTCCTACCTCTGAAACTGAACTGGTTTCTGTTGCGGTGCAAGGTGTCAAAACCCCAACTACAGTTCCAAGTAATATAACGTACACTGTGAATTAATCATTAAACAGAGCTCAACGTAACTTTTGCGGGTTTTTGTTTTGAAGATGTGAACCCGTCGGAAGGCAGTGTTACTTCAGATTCTCTGCTTCCCATTATTTCAAGCCAACGTGAGAGATTTAAAACGAGAAATATGGAGCTTGAAGCGGTATGTAGTACCATTAACCAAACTTAACTAAATTATACCTTATACCTCTGTCAGTCCTAAACTGTTCTCCCTAGGTCCAGCAAGGATAATCTCTTATTGATCCAGTATTACTACTGTACAGGAGGAAACCTAAACTAAACTAACTTTATTTCTGCTGGATAGCTCTATCAGTTCTAAACTGTTCTTCCTAGAGGTCCAGTAAGGATCATCTCTTATTGATCCAGTGTTACTACAGGAGGAAACTTAAACTAAACTAACTTTATTTCTGCTGGATAGCTCTATCAGTTCTAAACTGTTCTTCCTAGAGGTCCAGTAAGGATCATCTCTTATTGATCCAGTGTTACTACAGGAGGAAACTTAAACTAAACTAACTTTATTTATACTGGATAGCTCTATCAGTTCTAAACTGTTCTTCCTAGAGGTCCAGTAAAGATCATCTCTTATTGATCCAGTGTTACTACGGGAGGAAACCTAAACTAAACTAACTTTATTTATACTGGATAGCTCTATCAGTTCTAAACTGTTCCTCCTAGAGGTCCAGTAAGGATCATCTCTTATTGATCCAGTGTTACTACAGGAGGAAACCTAAACTAAACTAACTTTATTTATACTGGATGGCTCTATCAGTTCTAAACTGTTCTTCCTAGAGGTCCAGTAAGGATCATCTCTTATTGATCCAGTGTTACTACAGGAGGAAACTTAAACTAAACTAACTTTATTTCTGCTGGATAGCTCTATCAGTTCTAAACTGTTCTTCCTAGAGGTCCAGTAAGGATCATCTCTTATTGATCCAGTGTTACTACAGAAGGAAACCTAAACTAAAACTGTTCTCCCAAGAGGTCCAATTGATTACATTTGAGATGCAAACTTCCACCTTAATTCTTTCATCCTTTCATTTAGCAAGCGCGACATCAGCAGCGACAAACCACTCTACTCCAAAATGAAATCGATACCCTCCGTTCAGATAATGTGAAACTGTACGAGAAAATAAGATTCTTGCAAAGTTACCCAAACAAAGGCACCTCAAGTCGAGACGATGAGAATGCCGTTAATAAATATTCTTCCCAATACGAAGCAAGACTCGACCCTTTTGCTGCTTTTAACAAAAATGTAAGTTTCTCCATAGGAAACGTAGTTAACGTGAATTAAAAGTTCTGTCGTGAAATGTTTCCCGAAATGTTATCTATTTTTACAGGAAAAACAACAACGATATCTAGGGTTGAGTGCCCATGACAAAGTTACTTTAAATATGGTGAGTTTCCATAAAAATTCCGTATTTTATACTGTGGATTCATAGAAAATCCCATAAAAGACATGTTGTAAACATATCCCCCGATGATGGCTCTGTAATAAAACATGTTCTTTGCATTTATTTGGGGTAAAGACCTACCTAAAATGATCAAGTTTTGTGATTGGCTGTCAGAAACAAATCAGAAACAAAATGATCATTGTTCGTGACTCGTTCTTTAGAAAGACGATTTCTATAGTTTTATTGTCTTTCATTGTTATAATCAACCAACCACGAGCCTGGATAGTATAGGTAGATTATGATCCTTTATTGGTATTTTATATGTTTTAGGGGAAATTTATTTTATCCAACAAGATCGCCCGAGCTATAGCATTCTTTTATACGATATTTCTTCACTGTCTAGTGTTCCTGGTAAGCCTTGCAGGATTTAATATATTTGAACATTGACGTGACATGTTTTGCTGGGTTGCATCAAAGTCAAACTATGTCTGATTTCGATGCCCTCCTCTTTAAGGTGTTATACAAGTTGGCACATACAGAATCGTGCAAAAAAGTTATGGCTGCTGAATGCAATAGAAGGTTTGTGAAGAGTGCTATGATACCGGGGGGGAGGGGGGAATGGTTAGGAAGAAAAGAAAATGGGGTTGTAAAACAGGGGGGGAGGTAAGAGAGGGGGTAAGAAAGAGTGGATACAAAGAAGCCTTTCAAATGCCAAAAGTCAGTTTTTAAATGCCAGAACCTTTTTCAAATGCCAAAACTCCGTTTTCAAATACCATAACTCCGTTTTCAAATGCCAGAACTCCATTTTCAAATGCCAGAACTCCATTTTCAAATGCCAGAACTCCGTTTTCAAATACCAGAACTCCGTTTTCAAATACCAGAACTCCCTTTTCAAATACCAAAATTCCCTTTTCAAATACCAGAACTCCCTTTTCAAATACCAGAACTCCCTTTTCAAATACCAGAACTCCCTTTTCAAATACCAGAACTCCCTTTTCAAATACCAGAACTCCCTTTTCAAATACCAAAACTCCCTTTTCAAATACCAGAACTCCCTTTTCAAATACCAGAACTCCATTTTCAAATGCCAAAACTCCGTTTTCAAATACCATAACTCCCTTTTCAAATACCAGAACTCCCTTTTCAAATGCCAGAACTCCATTTTCAAATACCAGAACTCCGTTTTCAAATACCAGAACTCCCTTTTCAAATGCCAAAACTTCAAAACTAAATATACAGGCATGGTTATCATTTTTTTTGTATCTTGCTTTGTTTCACATTATTCTGAAACTGCAGAGTACAATACCGAACGCGTTTTGAACTTGCATTTTTGGGTTTCTGGAGCTCCGCCCTAGGTTTGCAGCGGTGCCAGCAGGATTTTATTCAACTTCAATGTTTTTCAGATTTTTTGAACACATGCGTGATAGTCATCATGGAGCTGAGGGTGGTTTCTTTCCAACATAACAGGTCATGGTCTTATTGAATTAACTGTTGCAGTGGTGAGCTGTCTTTGTATCAAATGTAGTAATATTAGTCTCATGTGTATTATAAATTATGGGAGCCTTACATGTGAACATCATTTGCAAGGGCTGCAGCCTGTGTAGCAGGGTTGTTT